AGACACATGATGCGGCGGCTGAACAAGGCCATTTATGGCCTACGATCATCACCAAAACAATGGCAAGACCACATAGCACATTCTCACAGTCACGCTTGAACTTGTGAGACGCACAACAGAAAGCAAGGTCTACAGATCAAAAGACTGTCAAGTCTACATCATGATCTATGAAGACGACCTCCTCTTCATAGGAGTACAAAGCATCATCAACACGCTGTTCAGCAGGATAGAAAAGGAAGTGCTGCTGAGACACACGGGCGACCTAACAGTGGGATCAACACTGCATTTCCTTGGTAGGAACATCTCACACAAAGGCGACTACATTGACATCAGCTTGAACAACGTTGACATCATCCTGGAAGAGTCAGGAATGACCACATGCAATCCAGCACCATCACCAGGAGTGTCACACATGAAAGGTACAGCAGAAGATGAAGCACTGCTAGACCAAGAACAGCACAAGCGGCACAGGCGGCTTGTTGGCAAGATGCAATGGCTAGCATATACACACGACCAGACATCAGCTATGGAGCAAAAGAGCTAGCAAGATCACTTCAAGCACCAACACAACTCGACAACAAGAAGCTCAAGCACATGATCAGATACCTTAAAGGAACAAGGTACATGCGACACAACCTGCGACCAAAAATACAAACACAGGACAAGCGAATTCCACTCAACATTGACATATGCACAGATGCCAACTGGGCATCATGCGAGACAACAAGGAAAAGCACAACAGGATTTGTGCTGCGCTTCTTTGGAGCAGCAGTACACTATGGCAGCAGAACAAGCAACAATAGCACTTTCATCAGCAGACTCAGAACTGTATGCATTTGGTACAGCAGCACAGGAGAGCCTCTACATCAGCAACTTCATCAAGGAAGCATTTGAAGTACGCACCAACATCAGGATACACACAGACAGCAGCGCAGCAAAATCAATAGCAATGAGAGAAGGTACATCGAAGAAAGCAAAGCACATTGAGCTGCGACACCTCTTCATACAACAACTTGTCAAGAGCAAAATCATCGCAACCCAGCTGCCACACTGACTAAATTTGTCAGCTGTGACACCCTCAACAAGCACTTGTACACAGTTGGCCTGTGAGGTCAACACAACCAGTTTCACACAGTTTGCACAGTATGCTAAACATCAGTTGCACAGGTCACTCTTCTTTTACAACCGAAATGAAAGCGCTACAACTTAGTTTCACCTAGGAAATCCGGAGCCATGGTACATCTTTTCTGGGAGTGAAACAACCCCCTCCCTCTTTCAATTGTTTTCTGCATGACACATGTCGGACATTGGTGTGTCACATTCCGCAGCCTTTTGCCTTTTACATCAGTGAGATACATTCTTTCTGAGACATCGGACCATGGACATGCAGGCCTTGACCGCCCTTGTCACATCGGCTGAGCACACCGGAAAGCATTACGACACGCAATTGAACATCTGTGGGATTTTACAACATTAGGTGCGTCAACGGCAAGGAGGCGCACGACATCATGGAGTGGCACATCAACAAGACTGCAGATACAAGCAACGTTTTACCTCGCCTTGACAGCAGAGGAGTACATCAGGTTGAAGGGAGATTACACTGGGCTACAGGCCTACATGAGGAAGCCATTTTGGGACACCTGCTAGTTTGACTCTCTACAACATTGCTTTACCTTTTCAGTCAGCGCAAGATTGCATCCGCACAGTTGGACAAGTGACAAGCTGCAAATCATCGGCTTTCAGCCGAACACCAGGCACATGCTTGCCAGGTTGAGCAAGAACCAGATGAGTACATTCAACAGAGGATACCAGATCCTCCATAGCGGGAAGTGGCAGTTCGATGAGTTTGAACAGCAGTCGGTACACATCTAGAAAATCTGCCATCACAACATCCTGGACATCTTCAAGAGATTCTCATGGCCCAACGGTTTCGCATGGGACTACAACGCCCTCATCAACCTGAGCGACCTACAGGCTGCAACAGACGATGATACAATCCATGCTGATGCCTGGAAACTTCACCACCTGCAGACATCAGGCAATGCGTCGGTTCGGGCACAGGCAATCAGGGACATCGAGCGCATCAGGGGACACCAGGATCACCACACCTGGTGCTACATGCAGAATCAGGATTTTTTCCCTGAATATATCAGCAAGATGAACAATTACAGGGATGAGCTTGTCGCACAGGCAACAGCCATGGATGCAGTTACAACATCGACTGCGAAGAGGCCGAGGAATGCGTGAACATTATGGTTCATACAACAGCAATTTTGAGGCGATACATTTTCTGCGCTTGGGTGGCACAGTCAAATAGCATGATACAACATCTGCTTGAAACAGTAGCTGTTTGATACTTGCTTTTGACACCACGAACCACAAGAGATTTGTACTGCCTAGCACACACGCCGCGTACAGCAGCTACATCATCTTTTTCAACAGTTCAGGAGAATGTACATGAGTTACATTGTCCTGAGGAGGCGTGTTAAGATACATGCATCCCAATACATATGGAATGCTGCTTTGCACAATCAAGGCCTTTGAGCCTTAGTACAGCTGGAGTCGCCCACAGCAAAAGTGACAGCACTTCGCTTCACACACAGGTTTACACTTCAGGCATCTTTGTTACAACAGTTGCTCCAAGTTTAACACTAGAGGACGATTGGCCCGAAAGCATTTTTGCACAGGTGCTCATCCAGCCGCGGAGACACCTTTTTACATCGCTGCGGCGAGCGTGCCTGCGCGCGGCGATGCTCAGTGTGTATGGTCACATGATCTCCATCTCATCATCCTACTTTCCTCTCGAGCTGCGCCGATTTCTCACGAAAGTGGTCTGCGCAAGCTGCATTGTTCCAGGCTGCTGCACGCAAGTTGCTCTCTGCAAGCTGCTGCACGCAAGTGCTCTGTGCAAGTTGCTCTGCGCAAGTGCTCTGAGCAAGTTGCTCTGCGCAAGTGCTCTGCGCCAGTTGCTCCGCGCAAGCGCTTTGCGCATGTGCTCTGTGCAAGTTGGTCTGTGCAAGTTGCTCTGCGCCAGTTGCTCCGTGCAAGCGCTTTGCACTGTGCTTGCTGCAAGTGCAAGCGCTTTGCGCATGTGCTCTGTGCAAGTTGCTCTGCGCGTGCTTGCTCTGCAAGTTGCTCTGCAAGTGACTCTGCGCAAGTTGCTCTGCGCAAGTGCTGCCGGAGCTGTGGGAATGTACTTCGCGTACTATTTTTGTACTTAAAAGTTGCTTAAGCTGCGGGAGGAGCACGCTCCGCGGTTTGTACTTAAAAGCTGCGATGTTCAAGCCGGAGCTGCGGGGGTGTGCTCCGCGTACTACGTTTGTACTTAAAAGTTGCGATTTTCCAGCCTGAGCTGCGGGAGCACGCTCCGCATACTACGTCTGTACTTAAAAGTTGCGATTTTCCAGCCGGAGCTGCAGGAGCACGCTCCGCGTACTACGTTGCGATTTTCAAGCCGGAGCTGCGGGGGTGTGCTCCGCGTACTACGTTTGTACTTAAAAGTTGCGATTTTCCAGCCTGAGCTGCGGGAGCACGCTCCGCATACTACGTCTGTACTTAAAAGTTGCGATTTTCCAGCCGGAGCTGCAGGAGTACGGTCCGCGTGCTACGTTGCGATTTTCAAGCCGGAGCTGCGGGGGTGTGCTCCGCGTACTACGTTTGTGCTTAAAAGCTGCGATTTTCCAGCCTGAGCTGCGGGAGCACGCTCCGCACACTACGTCTGTACTTAAAAGCTGCGATTTTCCAGCCGGAGCTGCAGGAGCACGCTCCGCGTACTGCGTTTGTACTGGAAAGTTGCGATTTTCAAGCTGGAGCTGCCGCGGACCAGGGGGGAATCGAACCCGGGACCGCGGGATTGCGAAAGCAGGCGGGCAAACCACGAGACAACTTCCAAAGGCCGTTTCGCGAGCAAGAATATTGCACGGCGCCACAGCGAGAGCGCTTCGACACGCACAATCTCCGCAGAGGGTTCGCCGAGACTAAGACAAATTCGCACGGCGCCACAGAGACGCTTCGACGCGCACGATCTCCGCAGAGGGTCGCGCGCGGGCAGCAGAAATCGCAAAAAGTCCACAGTTTTTGAACCTCGACCACGCGAATCTCCGCAGAGGGTCGCGCGCGCATCGCAGAAATCGTAAAAAGTCCCCAGTTTTTGAACCTCGACCACGCGAATCTCCGCAGAGGGTCGCGCGCGCACCGCAGAAATCGTAAAAAGTCCTCAGTTTTTGAACCTCGACCACGCGAATCTCCGCAGAGGGTCGCGCGCGGCCAGCAGAAATCGTAAAAAGTCCTCAGTTTTTGAACCCGAGCGATCCAAACTCCCGCCCCGGCGCCTTAGAAACCTAAACTAACTTACATAGCTGCTAACGCCGAAGCTCTAAGCTCTACCTAACCTTGGCTCTATGTAACTTGGCTCTATGTAACTTGGCTCTATGTAACTTGGCTCTATGTAACTTGGCTCTATGTAACTTGGCTCTATGTAACTTGGCTCTATGTAACTTGGCTCTATGTAACTTGGCTCTATGTAACTTGGCTCTATGTAACTTGGCTCTATGTAACTTGGCTCTATGTAACTTGGCTCTATGTAACTTGGCTCTATGTAACTTGGCTCTATGTAACTTGGCTCTATGTAACTTGGCTGTATGTAACTTGGCTCTGTGTAACTTGGCTCTATGTAACTTGGCTCTATGTAACTTGGCTCTATGTAACTTGGCTCTATGTAACTTGGCTCTATGTAACTTGGCTCTATGTCTCTTGTCCAAGGGCTCCGCACGGAAGAACCCTTCGCGATGCTTTCGGGAATAAACATGTATATATATATGCATTTATATTATACACTTCATGCCTATAATTGAATTACAAATAGCTAAGCATCAATAATTCAAACTATTTCATAAGTACACATTGAGTTCAATAACATGTGCAATTCTAATTATGAAGCAATAATACATGACAAATATTCCATCATATCAAAGTTCGAGTAGTTGTGGTGTGTCTATCACTTACTGTTGATTGGTTGAGTTCAAAAATCGCGTTGCGCCTAGCGAAGCCGCATTCTGAATCAAATGCAGCTTCACTCGCCTGTGCAAGCGCAACGGCAACCCGTCAGCTAAACACATCTTAAGTGTTGCCAGGTACCTAGGCACGTGCAAGAGGGCGCCGTCCAGCACCACTTGCAGCGTTTCATGCTCTGGCCTGGTTTCCGCCACGATGGTCAGGGCGGCCGCCAGCGCTTTGGCGCACACAGCTGCTGAGCGGCTTACGACAAATTGGGAGGCCTCTTGTAAAGCACTTGGCTGTTCGGAGCAGCATGCTTCGACCAACTCCCTCATGGTCAGCCTGCCTGAATGTGGACAAAACGTTTTGACCGTGCGAGGCAAATACAAACCAGAGACTAAGCGCTCCAAATTCACCGCGTCAGGAGCGTGGGTTACAAGATCCTCTTGCCTGATGGGAAGTCCGGTTGTGAGGCTGGCCCATTCGGTCGAAAAGATTCGGAGCTCATCCTTTGACTCCACAAAACACGCGTTTGTGCCAGTTCCCACCACCACGGCAACATCTGCTACAGTCGGCAGCGCAAAGAGGCTGCTGACGCAGTCATTTAGCACGTGGTGCACCTCCAAGGGCAGGTTCTGCCACCTCAATGCCACGTTCATCAGCTCGGAAAGGTCGGCTGCCACAACTCCACGAGTGGCCCAATCTTTAGCCCAGTGTTTTAATCTTCCTGAATCCAAGGCGAAGGAAAATATCAGGCAGAGGGGTAGTGGTGCCATTGCATTGGCGTCTCCAGGATGTTGATGAAAGACTTTGGCCACAACCGACGCAATGAAATCAAACAGCTCACCTGCTGAGGCGTCTTCTGATTTCAAGTGATTTGGCACAACGACCTCGCTGCCTGTGTAGCAATCCTGCGATCCACAGAATCGGAATACTCGCAAATTGGTCCCACCCAAATCAACCACATACTTCACAGATTGGGCTGATTGGGCGCTTTCATGTTCAAGCAAGCCTAGACCCTCAAAGGGCCCCACCAGTGCCGAAGCTGCACGAATTTGCCTCTCCAAATGTTCAACGTGGTGACTGGTCGGAGTTTGCCACGGTGTAGAATTCCTGAACGGCGCTCCTTGAAAGCCTTCTGGATTCTGCCGCGCAAAGCTCCATGCGGAAGCCACTATCTCACCCAGCCCCCTTTTGGCTCGCCATCCCAAGACGGCTTCTGCTCGGCTGGGGTTTGCTACAGCGAACGGTGCATCTCCAGCACGGCGATCTTGAAAGCTACAGGGCACGTCAAGTCCGGAGCTTCGCTGAAAAGCAGTCACAACTTCAAGCACCGTACTGCCTTTTCCGGTGCCCAGGTTGAACGCCTGAAACGATCCGCTTTGAAGGTGTTGCAAAGCTGCGACATGAGCCTCGGCAACGTCCTGAATGTGCAAGTAATCTCTGACCGCTGTGCCATCCACCGTATTGTAGTCAGTTCCAAAGACGCTCAGCTCGGGTCTTTTCCCTAATGCTACTTGTTGTATCAGAGGAACCAGCATGTGGGGCGATGACTCCACGGGCACTTCCCCGAGTTGACTGCTTGAATGGGCGCCAGCTGGATTGAAATACCGGAGCGCGCACGCGCTCCAAGTGCTATCGCTGGCAATCTGGTCCTTCAGGATTTCCTCCTGCGCCAACCTTGCCGTTTATGGCGCGCTCGGTTTCCATGACCACAACAATCTTTACACCAAGACTCGGGAAACAAAACATAGCAAGGCTCTTGTCCGAGGAGCTTGGTCTTTCCATATGGACATGTAGGCTCCAAAACAGCGTCCTCCGTCATCTTGCTCAAGGATGGCTGATACACCGTGCATGAGCTCGAGAGCAAGACACGTGACGAAGCTTGGTGTGCTCGGAGGAAGCTGAGAAGCTTGCGAAAGCCTTCCACATTGTTCTTCCAGTAGAGCAGGGGGAACCTTCGGCTGATATGCCGACAAGCCCATGCGCCATGGTCACAACTTTTATGTGAGTTACGGCCTTGGTTCCGTTAAGAACTGCATAAAACTAAGTGTAATCAAAACAATAGTTCTGCAGTAGTCATTGGCAGGATCAGCGAACAAGCCTCAAACGCTCAACGAATCGAAAACCAGAATGCAAGTTTATCCCTCGACGCCTCACGGATTCGCCCACGGACTTGTACCCAGCAAGGTGGATGACTGCGTCGAATGTCTCAAATCTCAAGGCAGCCAGGATTTCGTCCTCGTTGCACAGATCTGCCTTTCGCAGCACCAGCCTGGCAGAAATTTCATACTCGTCTGCGCTGATAGCAACTGTGATTTGTATGCTTATTTGGATCACTGGCCTTTTGCGTACTTCCTCCGTAGGAAGCTGCTCTGAAGCGGCTAGCTGCTGCACGCGACAAAGAGACCGTGAGTCAGCGCGAGAGAGGTTATCCAAGACAAGCACCTCGATTTCAAGAAACGCAAGGCCATGGTGTGCAAGCATTGAGGCTGCTCCGCCTTGAGACGCAAGTGACACTTTAACAACGTTCGCGCCTCGTAATTTTCTTGCAGTAGAGCAAGCACCGTGTGTGATCCGATGTAGCCGCACCCGCCGGTCACGAGGATTCGGCCGGCTGGCGCCCTCCGAGTTGCTGGTCGACTTGTGGCACTCCGAAACCGAGAGAGGCCCAACGCCACCCCAAGAGCAGCGTTGGAACGAGCAAACCAAGTCCTGTGAAGGTTGGGCCCCGGCTTGCATCGGTATGCTCCGGGGGCCCTCAGCTCAGAGCTTGGTCGTAGTGGCCTTAGCTTGTCACAAGGGAGCCCAAAGCACCGAAGCCACAAACTGAGAATCCGACTCAAGCGGCGCGGCTGACAACATGCGGGTCAAGCTTGTTCCGAACTTGTGAGACGGCTGCGGAGCCAGGTCGCCGCGACGTGCAAATCTCGTGCAACTACATTGTGAGTTTTGCCCATTGTCCATGTCAACGTCAGGCAGGCAGGCCCCCGCAGGCTCAGGAGACGCGAGACACTTTCAGTCTGTGAACGAGCCTTCTCTTCAAAATGCAGCTCAGCCTCACGGCGCTAGCTGCATCGATGGCAGGCAATGAGATCAGGACACATTTTCCGGATTTTCCCGAATCCGCAAAACGATCCGAAAAGATATCAAAGCTTTTTTGCAATCAAGACAGAGGGCAGCGAGTGCATCTTGTGGCACTCAGCCTTGTCAAACCCAGCTTCCCGCAACAGGCTGTTTAGTTGCACCTCGTTTCTTTCCGCGCCACCGGTTACTGCAAGTAAGTGTAGGTCACAGAGTCCTCCAGAAGACCCGCGAGGCAGAAACCTCACTCTCAAAAGAAAATTCAAGCCCCCCAAGTGAGAGAGCCGAATCTTGGGAGCCATCTTTCAGCCGTGGATTACTGATTGCTGCCAAATGCAAAACATCAGCCTAGGAGCTCCACCACCACAACGCGGCCTCCCTTCTTCAAAGCACGGTGCGCCGTTTGTAAAAGCTGCAGGGCTGCCCTGTCGTGGAAGTCATGCAGAACGCGAGCAAGCACGACTGCATCTGCCAATGGAACCTACAGCTGGCGCGAGGTAACTTTTACTGATCATGGTAGGTGAAGGTACCTTGAACAAACCAACATGCGCAAGCCTCCACCTGCCACAATTGGATGAGTACACATGGCCCCAAGTGTTTGACATGGCTTTCAGGGAGAAGGCCTCACCGTAAGCTACTGCTACAACAGCTGTCAGCACTTCCACACGAAAGCGCCTGTTGCGTCAGACACAAAAGGGACTGTGAACAAGCACCTGGCCATACGTTCAACGGTCGCAGCAAAACTGACAACAAAGAAACTGCTGGTCACAGCCCGCGTTTGACAAGATTCAGGTGCCAGGGAGCAGGCCGCAAGGCAAACACAAGCTCTAGATTGCGACACATACATTATTACATCATTGCTTTCGCCGGGGGGTGTGAGGAGGCAGCGCGTAAGCTCAAGCAACGTCCTTGAGCAGACATGATGCGCAGCGCTCTTGCAAACGGTTCAACACATGAGAACTTTAAAGGCGCGTTCTGGAGCACACATGCCTTCTTGGCAAGGCCCGAGCAAGCTGCAGGCGTTGGTAGCTGAGGGGCGGTTTGTGCCGGCCAGCTGCACAACTGGCGCAAGACGGGTCCAGTGCAAACAAAGACATGTCTACTGGTCCACCATATTCTCACCTAATCACCTCATCGTCGTCAAACCCCTTGGCAAGCAGGAGTTGGCAACGCTTTAAAGTAAACCTCAGCTTGCAATGGGCTGAAGCGCCTTCCCTACGATTTCCGGCTGGTGTCATGATGGGGGAGAATGGAAATGCGGACGCGTGCTCGAATCTTGAAGCAGCCCCACAACAAGTCTTATCCCAGCAAGAGGCAGGGCAGCAAGGAGACCAAGTGGTCAAAGCTGGTCTGACAATTGAAGGATGCCGCATTGAAATACCGAACTAAGCGATGATTGGGGCCCCTTGCTCGGGCGACCAGGTTGATGGTGGAGAGGAAAACACCAAACAAAATCAGGATGGGGCAACCGAAATGTGGCAACTGAACAGAACCGCGCACCACGTTAGGTTGGCAAAAGCTCCCCAACAATCCCATGAATTTCGCGGCCCCAATCTAGACCATGAGGCTATCGCTACATCACCTTGCTCAAAGAGATTCCACAAAAGCTTCAAAAGACAGAAGTAGCAAAGAAATACTTTTTCCGAAATTGCAAACGAGCAAATGGATTCACCCTTGGAGTGGCGAAGATTCGTCCTGAAAGCACCAGGTGGAACAAGATGAGTAGGCAACAGGTGTCCACGCGATGTTTCCTTTTAGAGAACTGCCGTACAAACACCACTTCATCAGCACAGGCACATGCTGGCTCCAATCATCTTGCAAGTCCACTGGACGCAATCGTAGCCCATTGGGCAAAGGCTCTACCTGCTGCAGCACCTCTGGCAAATCCAATAGGAAGACTTCTGCTTCGTCATTCGCCTCCAGAAAAAGCTTTGCCAGTGTCCCTGTCCCGCCACCCACATCCAAAATAACCATGTTCTCGCGTAGCTGAAGCAATTTGGGCACCTCTGCATAGTCGCGCCGCGCGTAGCTCCGGAGCATGCGATGATGAGCTAAGCAGCGTGCTGACGAGGCAACGTCCTTAAAAATCTCTGGCTCCCGCTCGGAGTTGCTTCGAAGGATGCTGGGCAAGCGCAGCCAGGCCTCACTTAATTGGCGTCCGTACTCTAAGGCTGCATCTGCCAGGGTGAGATAATGTCCTGGCAAATGCCAAAATCACAACCATAATTATCATAATTTATCGCGCTTAGCATGATCTGTGTCGACGCAAAGGACACACAGCTACACACGTTTCTCCAACGATCTTCAGACGACTGACCAACGCAAAGGAACTCCAACGATCTTTCGCAAACGACTCAGCCTGACCAAAATAGAAGACTTTCGCTGAAAGGTGCCCTATTGCTTAAGTGGCAGAAAGGTCCTGCTCTCAGCAGCTCCCCCCGCTCCGTGGCGCGCCACACGCAACCTTCGTCCCCTGTCTCCACGTCGACCGCTCGCACGGCGCGGAGCTCCTCCAAAGCGCGCAGCAGGCGCCGCAGGCGCGGCGATGGCACGGCGGTGAGCGCAGACAGCTGAGACAGGCTCGCCGGCAATCCCTCGAACCTCAGTGCCCCGAGCCTTCATAGGCCATGGGAAGCTACGCGCGATGTTCCAAGAGGGGTGTGAATTCGTGAACTCCCGCAACAGCAGACACAACTTCAAGAAGGTTTCATGTGGTGGGCGGGGCATAGGGTGTGTAGGGGGAACAGTCAACAAGCGACAGGCGACATAAACAAAGCTCGAGAGGCACACCCAGCTCCACTGCTGCACACAAGGTCTGCGTCTTCCAGAAGCCCACCAAATCAGCAGAAAGGGAAGCAAACGGGTCTTCCGTTGATGCGGTTATCTGAAGTAGAGTCTCACCATCTTCGCCGATGACCTCCCAGCCACCTTCCAAGGATTGCACCCGCGCCTGCCCATTGTAGAAGGGCTCCACCATCCCGAATCGCCGACTGTACTGAGGCTTGCCCTGCACATTGACGTGAAACCAGCCACGAGAATCCCTTGCTCTTGCCAGGCCCTTGTGGTACACATCCAAGTCCTTAGGGGTGCCAATGCTGTTCAAGTCAGCCGACACCCACAAGCAATTCACCAGCCTGTCCTGAAACCATTGCCCATGCAGAAGCTCACCGTTGCTCCTCACGTGCGTGGCAGAGCCTCCATCGCCATGTACCACCGCCGAGCCTTCGCGGAAGTCTCCGGCATACCTCCAGGTGGCTTGATACAGCGGCCTTCCGTCTAAGTCAATGTGAAAGTAGCGACCCTTCATCCGCACAGGGCAGCAATGTCCCTGGAAATTTCCACACCACTCCTGAGCCAGTCATCTGCCATGAAAGTTTTGCGCACGCCAGCGCTCTGCATGTTCAATTGCACATTCTAGCTGCTGAATTGGGCCTAGCAACATAGCGCTCAGAATAGGCCTCCTGACCAGATGACAAAATGTGATGCCACTTTCCTTCTTCCACGACGACTGCTGCGCGTCCATCGTAGAAGCCGAAGGTGCGCAAGTAGGTCTGGTCATAGGCCTCTGGGCATTCCAACATCACAATCCATGGTCAACTCCGTTGGCTATTTCAATCAGTCTCCAAGAACGATGAAGACAAAACGAGAGCTACAGCGGCATTGGGCAACACCAAGACATGTCCTGTCATTCCTTTCACATTCTCTTACCTTATCCTGTCTTCTGAAACATCCTTAACATTTTCTCGCATCTTTACCTCTTACACCGGCTAACTCCTGACCGTAGAATCCTTCATTTAAGAAACGACAGGTGAGAGAACAAGATACCCAGGTCAATCCAACAAACAAAGCCCCGGGCCTTGCGGCCATCCGCCTGAATGTGCCAGGCCTTGTTCCCGCATCTCACAGGCGCCAAGCCCGGCTCGTGAAATGGCAGGACCTCGTCAAAGCGATCCTTGTACAGCTCGCCTTCCTTAACCTGGGCAAACATGCGAAGCTTCGGACCAGCCTTTGAATCATTGAGAGCAGGAAGGGCTAGCGAGAAGGCAACAAAGGTGATGCCTGCAAGCAATTAATGCCCAAAATGCCCAAAATGCCGAAAATGCATGCAAGTGGCATGATGTGTCCTGTCCGAGGCAACACGGGATCCACGCCATTCGCCGAGGTTCTCTGCGCTTCGAGGGCACCGAGAAAAGCTTCGGCGAACCAAGCCAACGGCCACGCCCAAGGCGCATGGCTGGACCAGGACTTGCCTCGCCCGCTCCCTCACGGGCGTCCGTGCGCAGCTTGGCAGCGGGGCAGGTTGAAAAGGAAGCCCCCCACGGAGAGGCTGAATCATGCTGGGCCGAAATGCTGCACAAACACCTGTAAACATCTGCAACACGCCTGACCTTTTGGGCTTCAAGCTTGCTTCCTTTCCACGACAAGTGATGCAAAGCAGACGCATTGCCGTAGGTGATGCTTTTACTTTTCCAAGGCGAGGCGTGCAACAGTTCTCGTGAAAGGCTCACAATGCGGGTGGGCTTTCAGCAGAACGGCGCATGATCTGTGTCTCACGACGGCAAAAATACAAGCGGTACAAAATCAGGCGAGTTGCACTTCCGACTACGATACCAGCGCCAAACAAATGCATGACTGCATCGATGTTCAAATCCAAGACTCCCAGCGTGTACAACAGGAAAGCAGATCCATAGACGCCCAGGTTAGCAACGATGGATATGAATGCCAGTTGATTGGTGAGCCCAAATCCGTAGAATATGGAGTCCAGGAGGGCGGCCAACATATAGAACAAATAGAAGGGCAGGAGTGTGTGGACGATATTCAGCGCGCTCGACGGCTTCTCTACATTCAGAACAACCTGGAAAAAGCCCTGCCAGCCGGGCATAGTCAGAAGCCAGCTCGCAAAGAGGAGCAGAGACAACAGCAAATATGCTGGCAATATCGGGAAATGCGCTGAAGGTATCCTTGGCCTGCAAGAGACCTCTTGCTTGAGGAGCTCGGCAAGGGGTAGGAATGGCAAAAGAAGCCAGGTCCAAATGAAGTTGTTGGCCAGCCAGTAGTTGCCAGACTGGTGTAGAACGTTCACCATGCGAGCTATAAAAATCACATAGCTCAAGTTTCGTATCAAGGATCCGGCGGCTGCCCATCGTCCAACGCGCCACCAGCTCGACAGCCAGGTCCAAGTTAAGGGCCGTGTGGCGCAGGGAAGGCATTGAAGGGCGAAAAGTAAGACTAGGGTGTAGGTGCCTCAGTGTAAAACATGACAACGACGACAGCAACGGCAACGACGACGTGAACGTGACGGTGCCCGCGAACAACAGCAACAACCAGAAAGTGGATGATATCGGACCTCGCATGCAAGAACTCCAGCTGACGAGATGCAAATGTTCGATATAGCCAAGCCAATGACTCCCCATCGGAATGACCCAGGGAGGTCACTCACAAAGAGGTAGTCAAATAGCACTGTAAGCAGCGTTTGAAACATAGCAATGGCAAAGACGACCTTTTCTTTCTTCAAGAGCACAAATGTAACCTTGGCGCCAGCGCTGCCAACAAGGCATGCAACCAGGAGAAAACAACACAAGCAAGCATTTTCAAGCACGTGCAACAAATGTGTTTAGCTCATTGAGAGCTGGCAGCGTGCGTAAATTTGTCCAACCCCTGAATCACTGCAGCCACCATCTCCCAGCGGATGTACCTCACCGTCTCTGCTCGCAAGTCTTGTTGAGGAGCCTCAAGCAAAAGCGACAGCCTTCAACCTCAATTCTGACTGACAGGCGTAAGCGCGGAATCCTCTACACAGGTGTCCTTTTGGAAAAAACATCTAAACCAGTGGAACCCATCTATTTCGAACCAAACTAGCATTTTTGTTTTTTTTTTTTAAAAAAAAAGAGACACCTGTGCTCCATCTATCAAAGCTCCGGATTTGGAGGCTCAGGGCAGCGCCATACTGTCCACGAGGGGCTCTGCGGCGGACACCACCACGGCGGCGAAGACGCAATAGAAAAGGAGGGTGATGAGGAATCCCGTGCGCACCTGCAATCCAGATGTTGGACGGTGCCTGAACCTGCATCACAACAGCTCAAAGAAAGATCCCCAAACCTTACATTCAATCTTAGGAGCGGCAGAATCCTAAGAAAACCCGGCGCGCACGGCTGGCCGTGAACAATAAACCAATCCCAGCATCAAACGCGCGAATGACTTGAGAAGCAAAGCGCGGGCCTTTGAGTCCCAAAATGCGCCGAACCGAAGTACTTTCCGCCTCAAACCTAAGCCTTCGTGAACTTCTGACCGCTCGGACCACGGCCTTGTTTCGTGTGGACAGCTCCTGATCAATCGTCTCCTTGGCCGCTCCGGAAAAACTGCATTCAAAGCGTTTCTCCAGCTCTCAAGCCATCTCAAAGGCACACTGTGAACACAAAAGAAAGCACTCAAGGGCTATCATACTCGTGCTCGGTATTGCTCTAATTGAAATCTGGCCTGGTGATCGCACGCATCAAGTCTTCGACTTCTCAGTGCAACTGGGAATCAAACGCTCGCAAACTGAAATCACCCTTTGTAAGCGCAGCGCACAAGCTTGAAAAAACATACAAGACTGCATCCGGTGAAACTGTGTCTTTAGCATTGCAGGTTGCGACAGCGTTAAATTTCAAGCCATGGAAAACTGCCGAAGCCACGAAAAGCAGCGAAAGCCAGCAAGCCACTCATGGCAACAAAATCTCAAGCACGTACACAACAGAAGAACGCCCTCTGCGTCACCAAATCCCTGGAAGGCTTCTCTATCCAGTAATCTCCGACCCCTTGTCTGCAAGGGCGAGGCGAATGGGAAGGGTGTCATCATCATGATCATCCATCATCATCATCATCATCTTCTTCTTCATCATCATCATCATGGCGATCATCATCATCCTCATCATCATCCTCATCATCATCATCGTCATTTTCATCATCACCGTGGTCATCACATCATCGTGGTCATAGCTTTACAAAATGATGAATGATGATAAAATGATGAGGAGCATGATGATGACAATGACGATAAACATTAAAAAAATGACAATGAGAGAGCGCGAGAGATGAACAAATGATTATGAAAATGATGATGATAAAAATGACGATGAACATGGTGATGAAAACGATGATGGAAATGACGATGACAAATGACTCAAAAGATGAACATGATGATGATGGACATGATGATGAAAATGATGATGAAAATGATGATGAAGTGACATATATATATATATATACATACACGTTTCAAGTGTGCCATTGATGCTACGATGATTGTTATCATCACAGTCGTCATCAACCTTGTCATCATCATGGTCATCATCATTTCTTTCTTTTGCAGCATTGGTGATGGAGAGGGTGCTACGGTGGTAGTTTTCATCACAGTCATCACCATCATCATTATCATCTTCATCGGCGATGCAGAGGACGCTACGATGATGTTTTCATCACAGTCATCACCATCATCGTTATCATCATCATCGGCGATGCAGAGGATGCTACGATGATAGTTATCATCACACTCATCACCATCATCATCATCATCATAGTCAAGATGATGATGAAATTTAGGAAAGTGATGATGATAATGATGCTGATGCTGCTGATGAAGCTGGCGAAAGTGATAATAAAAATGATGATGAAATGATGAGGAAATGATGAGGAAATGATGAGGAAATAATGAGGAAATGATGAGGAAATGATGAGGAAACGATGAGGAAACGATGAGGGAAATGATGAGGAAATAATGATGATTAAAAACATAAAAAGGATGATAACAATGATGATATAAAAATGATGATGAGACTGATGATGAAGAAGATAATCATCATCCTTTAGGCGCCTGTTGCAACGCAAGGAATGCTACGATGATAGTCATCAAGGCACGGATGAGCTTGCAGAGGATACTACGATGGTAGTTATGATGGCGCGGATCAAGAGAAATACGTTGGAACCCTTGCAAAGCAAGGAATGCCACGCGAACTTTGGACATTGTTGGGGATGCAGGGATGCTATGATGATAGTCATCACCGTCTTGATCATCCATCATCATCATCATCATCTTCATCATCACCAGCATCATCATCCATCATCCATCATCCATCATCCACCATCATCATCATCTTCATCATCACCATCATCATCATCATCAGGCATCATCCATCATCCAGCTTCATCATCACCATCATCATCATCATCATCATCCATCCCATCATCATCATCTTCATCATTTTCATCATCACCAGCATCATCATTCATCATCCATCATCTATCATCATCATCCTCGTCATCATCAGCATCATCATCAACGTCATCATCAGGATCGATTGTGACTCCAGGATAAAACCTGAGAGTCCACCCCTTGTATCTCATCCAATTATTGGCCAAGAGATAGTGATTTTGAGTCTATAATTTGCCTGTTGCTTTTGGAGCGCTAGCAACCCCAAGTGAAGCACATTTTGGAGGTGACAAGAGAAAGAGAAAGACATGTCAACCGATGCTACATGTCTTTTCAGCTACCTATCTGGTCCATCTTTCGGTTGATATCTTTCTTTGTCATTTCCTTAATATCAGACAAACAAGCACAAAATGTAAAAATCAATGCAACAAAGTCATAACTTGCGCAATGAGGGGATACTTCAAACAGTTCAAGAAACCGTCTGCGGTATGAGGTAGCGGTTGTGCATGATACAGTGGTGCGACCAATACTACTCGTCAATTATGTGTGTGTTGAACTTGTGCTGTCGCCATGAAATCTATGGTTTAGTTGCACCGTGTTTAGCGTCAGCGACACCGCTTGGCACATTCAAATGTAAATGCGTTGCAGAACCTGCAAGAGCGCAAGATATCACGACTGTCTGACAACACATCTAAAGGAGACCCGTCAGTAAAGTCGCATCCTTGTTTTGCTTCTGCATTGATTCACATGTTCGCACCCATCACTGCCGCCTTTTGATAAAATCATGCAATTCAACACCTTCGAACCTTCGACCAGTGCAAATCCTACTTCATTTATCGCGCGCTCTCTCTATGCGCTGAAGGGCTGGACTGCGCTTTGACTCGAACAGCGCAATAACAAGGAGCTCTTCTGCTGCTCCATGACAAGGCATTGCAGCGTGCAGTAGCAAAGGAGCTCTATAAATGCCTTATCCAATTGGATTGAAGAGTTTCAATTTGATTCAAAATGCGCATTTCCAAGACTAAACCACGACTGAAACCAAGACTCAAGACTACACCATCCAAGTGGGGGAAGCCTTAGATAGAAGTTCTTCATCCAAAACCCCATTTGAATCTGTTAGGCTTCCACAAAAGTCCGTGGAAATCGGTCACATACAGCGACCTCTGTAAAGGATTTCGTTACAGAAGTCCGGACGGAACCCTTCCAAAACACGTTGATGATCCCTATCTACCGCGAGCAAAAATGTGTTTTTGCCATTGCGCACGCGTGCCTGCACACATTCTGACAGACAGCGCCAAAACTCACGCGGAATGCGAGCAACACACAAACTGCAGCGGCCCGCAAATACTGGGTTCTTATGGCCAAACATATCTGCCTCCAAGCTTCTCCAATGCAAGGATACAACGGAACCTCGGGCAACACGCGCTTCCCACAGCTAGCCACAAGACAGGCAGAAGTTCAACGGGTGACTTGCCATGTCGAGACACGAAAGCAGAAAAAGACAGAAGCGCAGCTGTCAAGAAGCAATCAGCGCCTCCTCCATGACCTGCCACACGTGTGACTCGGGCTTGATCGTGCTGAAAATGTTCCTGGCCTCCAGCAGAAGGCTGACCCAATAGAGCTGCGACGCGATGCTCACGGCATTGGCCTGCCAAATACCGCCATCCCGCGGCAAAACGAAAAGTGCGCAGAATCATGAATGAACAGCTCTCCATATTTGCATCATTTGCACGGTCTGTGTCACAAAAGCAAAGGCTTCGTGCCTCCGGCATCTGTCCAAGGAAGTAGATCCTAGTTGTGGTATAAACCTTGAAATGCGCTGGAGTTCGCCAGGGACATGGCGGACATGGCACGTCCAATGAACCAACTGCTGCAAGGAGGCTGTTGGCATGGCCGCCTTCAAAAGCAGCGCTGCGTACAGCCGCAGGTTCAATGTGCGAAACGATTGAACCAAGCAGACCTGCCAGCAGCTATGCCTCCCAGGACGATTCAAACACAGTTTACCGCATTTTACCAAGTGTAAACTTTGAAGCACGCCAAGAGTCATAAAAAACCAAAATCGCTTCCTCTAGCTGCTGAAAAGAACCACTGCTCCACACTGGACGATCACAGCCCCAGAATGACGGGTTCAAGAAAGATTATGCAACTAGCACAATTTTGTCTCTCTGTCCTGTTTCTCTCTCTCTTCCGTCAAGCCACTCTGATAGAACAAGCCGTGAGTCAGAAACTCCCACACTTGGCCTTGGACCCTCCGGCCGCGCACATATCTCCACACCTCCAAACGATACTGCTTCAAACCATGCAACTCTTGGGAGAAAGGCGCGGAAAGCATCCTCGTGCGAATCTTTTTACCTCTCCCCCTGCTATCTGTCACGCATGGGCCATGGACCACTGCCGCTCCATAGAGCCATGCTTCAAGGCAGGGCAGAGGTCACTTCCTGTCCGTCGTAAAAGAAATGCTCCCGGCCGTCTTGCCACCACAAAGCCGCCTCTAGAAAGTCAGGCGCCTTTGGATTGGACTGGAAAAAGGACGCCAAAGCGTAGAGCAGCACGTCGTGGGTGCAAACTAGCACCAAATCAAGCGGCTGTCCATTCTTCTTGGCACTGGAAAAACCACAAGTGCCTCTCAGTCTCTCAACAGCTTGATGCAAAGGAAGGTATCCATCAACTTGCTTGCCACATGACAGCCTTTGCAAGATGTCTTGCCAGCCAACAGCTTTCATCTCATCTGCTGCTGCCTTCTCTTCTCCAGGTCGGTGGGTTGCGTTCATCCAAGCAGCCACTGGCCGTATGGTGAGGCCACAGGCTGCGCCTCGCGCCACCGCTTCGGCCGTCGCCATGCACCTGGGCACCTCGCTGCTGAGCAGCTCCACGCAGCGAAGCCCTTTGGCGCGGCGCAGGCGCTCCCCGAAGTCTGCGGCCTGCTGCTCGCCCGTGGCCGTGAGCGCTGCCTCACGCGCGGCCCTCCAGAAAGCCTCGTCCGGCAAGTCAGCCGCGTCACCTCAGCTTCTTCAGCAGCTCCGAAACACCCAAATCCGTGTCCCGCGGTGGCAGGTTTTCGGCGGACGCTTGGTCACCACGATAGCCCATGCTTTTAAGGTCTCTTCTGGAAAACATTGGCCCGCCAACCTCTCCCAGACGCTTCTACAATGCAAAACTGTGAGTTTTTGCTTCTGAGTGACAACGCGCTGTCTCTTTCTCGCCGTGGCGGAATATTAGAACGACCCGCGCCACATCTGGCAAGGCTGCCAAAGATTCGAGCCGGTCAAGGAGAACACGAGAAGCATCATCCTTCCCAAGGGCGGCAGTGGCCAGGCGTATCATCGACTGCTCAGCCCGAGGGATTACTTTCGTGAGGCTGGGCAGCCAAGCCCTCCCGAACGAAAACAGCACCAGGTAACATGGCGGCCATCGAGATCCAGGTCGCGGCAACACACGCATGAGGCTCAAACACACCCACCCATCTCAAAATGTCTGCGATGGTGCCCGTAAGATGCATGTCACGCTGCGCACAAACCTGATGTCGAAAGCATCACGCTAACCTCCAGGCAGAGTTCTGCGCAAGCCTCTTAGCGCCGGGCCAGCCGAGTAGCCTGACGGTTTCAAGTACAGGGGTTGCAAGCGAACAATGCGAGGCAGACCAACTTGACCCATGCACAACACTGTGCCTCGAAGCATGGAGGGCAACACACGGAAGACACGCGCGTCCACTGAGCCAGAGTTCAAGAGGTCGTGTAGCTGCAGACTTCCTTCTGACTCAAACTCTACTGGCTTTGGTTCACGACCATGCTACCTTGGCCTGGCTGGCTGCTGCTATCTCACATCTTCCCTGGCGGCTTTTTCGTTGTTGCAAGCTGTTCAAGCAACTCTTCCGCTTTTTCCACCTGCCTGTTGGAGTAAACTCTGGCTGTGCAAAAACGAGAGACCAAAAGTCATCCGTCTTCTGTTCGAATAAACTTTTGGGCAGCCTCTAAATGACTCAGACGTCCTCTAATTGCTCTGGGGCCACCTCCTCATGTTGCAGCCCTGGCACAAGCTGCAGGTGGAGTATGTGGCCAACAGCTGTTGGTACGGCTCACCCCGGAGGATCTCCTCCAGGGTCTCTTCCTTGAGATTTCCAAAGTATCCCAGGCTCTGCCTCTTCTCGTCTGGTGCGCAGCACACATTGAAACGCCCGTCCGCTGCCACCCAGAACTCCTTCCGCAGGAATGGGCATGGAGCGCCCGGCGCCAAGTTTTGCTGGGCGTCCTCTGGGATGACATGGATGCCCTCCAGCTTGATTCCTCACTTTCCAGCTGAGACTACAGCTCCAAACAGAAGAGTTGGGCAATGGAACTAGCATCCACAAAATGGATACGTCTATTCAAACATGTGGATTACAGAGGAAATTAGTCAACCTCCACAATGACATGATGAACAAAGGCCAATCGGCAGACACGAAAGGTAAGAGAGGACAGCAACTCGCGACCTTGTCGTGCAAACAGACATGGTTTCAGCTAATCATGGGCTGTCTTGAGTGAAAAGCAGACAGCTTCAAAACGGAGCCAACAGTGCGTAACAAAGTAAAACAACGTTGAATGCCATGAGACTTAGAGGGAAGATTTGCCATCTTGATAATTTGGAAGCCAGAAAGAAGTTGCTTCCAAGAACCCAAAACTCTTGTATTGAGCCAACATGTTGGGTCAAGGGGGGGAAGGGTTGCCGCGCTTCATATGATCAAGCTCGGCGCTGCCAGCCTATGCAGCTCGAAACAGGCACATTCGCCATCTAGCTTCCCTGCAGCGTGCATGTTGACGCAACGCAGGGCAAGTTTGCTGCACAAATGCTGGTAAAAAGCAGGTGTTTCGCGCGCGTGAACAGCTATGTTTCGACAGAGGGCCGTGGTGTTGGTCTCGACCACTGTGGTGCGATACCAACGTTGCGCATGCGACCAGCAGGCAACTGCGTCTTTTGCAAGTCCGGCAAACACTTCTTCCCCGCGGTTGACACCGCATGATATCACCAAAATCGCCAAAAATCGATCACGATGTTGCCAGGATGCAAGCAGGAAAGTGGGGTTGGGGATGAAACGTCAAAATGTCAAGGGGCATCCTGTCGCAACACTGCGCAAAATGCTTTTGGAAACTTTGAAAGTCGACACATGACAAAGAAGATGCATCATCCCGAGACTTTGAAAACCACCCATCGCGCGCAAGAGCTAAAAACTGAAATATGGCGCGAAACCGACAAAAACAAATTTCGCGAAAGTGTCCCCTCGTATTGAGCCAAAATGCGGGAAGTATGAAAGTTAGATATGCAACACAGCAAGAAGTACGACATTCCAAAATTTGACAGTCAAGAGATTTAGAGGGAACATGCATCATCTCGATGTGGGAACCACTAAACGTCGACCCTCAAACTGAAATGTAGCGCAAATTGATATGTGTAGGAAGAATGAAAGGTACAATTGGGAATTTGGCATACAAAAGGATGCAACTTTGACATGCCAAGGGGATTCCAACAACAACACAGAGAAAATTGTGAAGAACGTAAAGAAATTTAGAAGGAAGCTGTAGCATCTTCGAGATTCCGAGAACGCAAATAATCGCTTACAAACGCCTCAAACTGACATGTGGCACGAGACCCGCAAAAACAACTTGCGCAAGGATCCCTGCCTTGTGTTGGGCCAAAATGGTCGTAGGAAGTGTGAGGGAAAACTAAATTGAAGCATACAAGGAGTAAAGCGGTTGGGGTTGGGGATGAACTTTGAAAGGGAAAGGTTCATCAACGAGGACACATCCGAAATTGCAAATGCTACAACTACAACCTTGAAAGTCAATAGATTACATGGAAAATGCATCATCTCGAGACTTTGGAAACCGCCCATCGCGCGCGAGAGCCTAGAACTGAAATGTGGCCCAACAAAAACACATGCGTAGAAAGTTCCTTGTAGTGAGCCAAAATGTTGGTGAGAAGCTTGATATGGGGTTGAAGCATAACATAAGGGAGTAAAAAGGTTAGGTTTTGCGGCTGAAGCTTAAACATAGAATCGCCGACTATGAAGCGCGTGCGCACGAGTGTCCCAAGTCTGCCTTGACTGAATGAAATGGCCTTCAAACGCAAGCTCGAAACAAGCATTGAAAAAGGTTGCGACGCAAAACTTCGGAGCGAAGCACGAGGAGAAAAGTTGCCAAAAGAGTGGCGAGAAGGGGCGGAGAGAAGAGCGAGGCGGCGAATCAACCCTGATTCCTTGAATCAAGGAAGTGCTCAAGGGTAGCCAGCAAAGGGTTTCCTTTGGTGACATGGACATAAGAGCCATTTGCCTGACATCAGCGCTGCTCTATAAGCCATGTAAGTTGATGAGTGGTCATATGTGGTCATGTGCTCTGCGCCCGCCTATGTTCAAGTTCTGGGTTTGGTGTCTGTGGGTTCAGGAGTTGCAGTTTGACCGTACGTGCGCAAGGGCTGCACCCAATTGTGCGCTCAAACTTTGTGTGACTTCCTTCGAGCGCATGTCAAACGCGTTCCAAGCTTGCCCTGCCCAGCTCGCTGCATCAAGCGTTGCTTCTGGCACACCCGACTCGCGTCCAACTCGAACATCCTTCTCCGGTCGGGAAGGCATCCAGCGATTCGCCGAAGCACTGGAGACGCCAAGGCTCGGATCTGCTGCGTGCGCCAGCTGAAGAATTTCCTCCGAACCTTCCGGAACTCTTGATGGCGTTCTCGTCTCTGCCCGTGCATCCGTGCCATTTTTTGCGGCACGTCGAGCTACGAACCTTCTCCATTTGAGCTGTGCAACGAGTGTCTACTTCCCTTAAGGGTAATCGGTCACGCCCAGCGAAGCGCAGCCCCTAAGTCCTCGACGGACAAACTGCGAGCTACAAGTTGAACCATACGAAAAAAAACCCACGGGGGCAAAACACATGGTGACTCGCGCAGCGTAGGAAGGGCAGTTGAGATTCCAACACCACAGGGCAAATCACCTGTAAAAGGTTTGGAGACACGCAGGTTGTGTGACTTTGGAGTTTCAGCCACAGATTCCGGAAGCCACCAAGCCTAACCCAGCAATCAAGACTTCTGATTCACCAAAACACCAGCCACACTGACATCGCCCAGCATTCCTTCAGTTCTTGTCAAGTGTGAACACGACGAACGTGATCTGGAGCTGCGATAGCGTGGCTCTGCTGTCTGTACAAGCATCCCATACGCCAGCTGCTTTTAGAAACGCATCAAGCGTTTCTTCAGTTTGCCCAAGTCTCCCTTTCTTTCTTGCTCCCCAATCATGTGCCCATGAAGACTCAACGCCCGGCTCAACACCTTGAGGCAATGAAATTCAGCTCAAGCCGCTGTTTCGTTTTGCCACTTCCTCTGCCTTGGGCACCATGCAATTCCAAGCACGAACTGCCGCGCTGTCGCGCTTCATAGCCCTGGCTGCCATCTCGTCCCAATGCGCCCACAAGTGATGCCCTTTCACCTTAGCCGCCCGCGGCCTTTCGTGTTTTGCAACTGGCCAGTTTTCCTTTTTGCGCAATGGGCCAAACAGCATCCATTCCCAGCCGCTCGGTTCACGCCCACGTCCGCAGCAAGTTGGATGATCTGAGGAATCTCTTGGTAGTTCTCCTGCAGGAAGGTGAGCTGGAAAGTCAGGCGGCAGAAATTCCCGCCGGAGGCCGCAAGGGCATCCTAGGCAGACGCCTACACGCTTGTCAGACGGCCAGGAAGCACACGATGCACTCATTGCCACGCTGAACAAAAGGCGCCACTTGATGATTCGGCCAAGCCTCTCTCTGGGCTGCCAAGGTCTTCACGTTCTCCAGAACTTGCTCAAAGTTCTGACCCTTCATGATCATCTCCTGGGTCTCTTTGCTGGCACCATTCCAAGAGATCTTGACGTCCGACGTAAGGGGGAGCAGAAGCTCTGCCCAACGCTTGACGCCAAGCCTGAAGGGTCGGCCGCAGGGCGCAGCGGCAAGTCTGACACAAGCCCTGAAACGCACACCCAGCCACATCGCGTGATCGAATGCCCAGCCCCGGCCTGGGAAAGGTACCATTGGTGGTGAGATTGAGCTGCAAGCCTGCGTGCCCGTGCTCCTTGAGCCGGCGATCTTGCTGTTGAATGAGCCCCAAGACCTCTTCAAAGTGTTGGTAAAGGAGCGGCTCCCCCATAGTAGACGGGATCACCTGGAATCTGCGCTGAGATGGGAGCCCACAATGGCTCATTCATTTTTTGCCGGGAGTGGCAAACAAACACAGCACATCACAACTACTTACTCTCGCTGGATGCGGAATGCCAGGCCTCCAACGCTTTCTGCGGGCTCATGCTTGGAGTCTGCAGATGAAGGTCCACAAACTCGCTGAGGACCTTCTCCACCAATTGGAAGGACATCCTGGAATGGCTGGCTGTCTGTGACAAGTCAACAAGCGCAAGACTGCGCCGCATGTTTGAAAAATACGCGGGTAGTGAGAAGGATTTTTTGCGCGGGCATTTCTTCGGCCAGAACATGCCCAGCCACACGGTTGGGCCGCTTTTCTGGTCCAAACAAACCACGTCACAGACTTGCAAACCTAAACTGCAGGTCTGCAACCCTTCGCATTGCTCTCAGGACCCCAAGTTCCCACACGAGTTGGGAGAAAGCCCAACTTGAGGGTTGAAAGCCGACGGCCTTCTCGGCGCCAAGTTCTGCTCCTTTCGCTCCTTCTGTACGGAGGAGTACTGTGAGAAGCCCTCACACATGTCACAATGCAGATTGCAGTCGTCCGGGTTGGTATCAAACGTCACCTAAGCTGGACCCAATCCGTTAGAAAGACCTTCTCTCTCCTACAAGCTTGGGAGAATTGGAATATTGCAGCCTACTACCTGCTGCCAGCAAAGCGAGCAACAACCTGAAAGGTGACGCCACGTCATCCAGGTCGCTCTCCACGGCAACAAGTTGCCATGTGTAACGTCGGAAGTCTTGCGCCGTTGAATCGACTGCTGATAAAGCTTCACAACTTCATCAACATGGTCGTCAATGGACGGAATCTGGCCGTCCCCAGACAACCTGATCTCTGACAAACGGCTTCGGATTCCGAAAATTTCCATGCGTAAGACGTCTGGAGACCGCTACGCGGCGCCGAGATGCAAGTAGCCGGTGGAGGCCAGCCCATTGGCCCAATGGGGATCTTGCAAGCACCGAAGCATTTGCCCAGCCAGCGCTGATGGGCTGCGATGCGTGTACAACAGCCCATTCACCTTGGACAGCTCTCTTCAAAACATGTCTGCACGTATGTGGAGCCCTCTCGCACTGCCGTATCGATTGAAAACGAAACCTGGCATGCTTCAAGAGACAAGTCAAAATATCTCCAATGCGCTTCTTTCCGGTCCAAGCGGCTTCGTGCTTGATGTACTCCGCCATTCCTCCTGCGTCCGCTGTGATCACCAGCACTCCAGCCTGCAGCGCCTCGTGGATCACCAATGGGCTGTTCTCAAGCCAAATTGACGGCACAACGATGCAGTCAACCTGGTTGAAGACCTTGCCAAAACTCCCACCGCGCTCTTTCACTTCCAGGCACGTTTTCTCAAAAGGTGTTGCAGCGCTCAAGGAGAGCCGAGAAGCACTACTCACTATATCCTCGTTGTCATACTCCCCGCACCACTCCAGCAAAGAGGAGTCCGGCAGCAACTGTTCTGCCAGCCTTTTCAATGCCTCATCCAACCACTTTTACTCAAAAAGCACAACAAGCAAAGGTTGAAGACGTTTTGATCACAGAACTCTTGAGCATAAACAGAACCCAAGAGCCCCGAATAAGCAATGAGCACACAAGGCCCGGACGGCTGTGCTTTGCCCCAAAGTTCGACCGTAGATCTTCAAACCTCAGCCCGCTTCCAACTACGCATTCTCTTCTAAAGGATCATGGACCGCGCTATTCTACCCTTGAAGCTCACGACCAGGACGCGAAAATAGCTGTCAGGCAATTGCGGACACTTGGCTGGGCTTACCTACAAAACGCATGCCAAGCCACGAGTAGGCGGCGCTGCGGGGGACCCCGCAACTTCTGCAAAGGCTGAAATAAGATGGTGTACACCTTTCGCCTCCTGACACGAGCGACGCAACTAACGCACCAGCACATGCACGTCTGCACGCGCCCGCGCCCACGCATGTGTAATGCGCGGGCGCGGGTGTGTGTCGATGATTGCGTTGTGCAAAAGAATAGGACACTTGTAGTCTGGTGTCAATAGCGGGGCCTCCCGCCTTGTGTGTTCCGATGTATGCGAAGGTGAAGGGCTCCCCTGGCGATCGGATCCTCCCTTCGCAGCGCTGCCTGTCGAATCCGTAGTCCAGGTACACGACTTTGCTCTCAGGGGCCAAGCCTGAGCCGGCCCGTATCAAGTTGACCAAAGCCCGTCCAAGCAAGTTGGGGATCTCAAAAAGAAACCACATTTGCGAATCGTGCACCTCCAGTCGTCCCAAGTCAAGACACCGTGCCCGGATCCCAAAGCGCCAAAACGGAGACAAACCAAACAAATCGAACCGCATGTGCGTGGCTGGAATATAGGCTGAAATCGGCGCAACCAGAGCCATGACTATGGTGCAGGGGACTTGGAGTGAATGTTTCTGCTCTTCATGGATGTCTGAGCTGTTGGCTTGTGGATGGAACACCTACACTCAAACTCGTGCGTGCGTGCGTGCGTGCGTGCGTGCGTGCGTGCGTGCGTGCGTGCGTGCGTGCGTGCGTGCGTGCGTGCGTGCGTGCGTGCGTGCGTGGTGCGTGCGTGCGTGCGTGCGTGCGTGCGTGCGTGCGTGCGTGCGTGCGTGCGTGCGTGCGTGCGTGCGTGCGTGCGTGCGTGCGTGCGTGCGTGCGTGCGTGCGTGCGTGCGTGCGTGCGTGCGTGCGTGCGTGCGGGCGTGCGTGCGTGCGTGCGTGCGTGCGTGCGTGCGTGCGTGCGTGCGTGCGTGCGTGCGTGCGTGCGTGCGTGCGTGCGTGCGTGCGTGCGTGCGTGCGTGCGAGCGTGCTTGCGTGCGTGCGTGCGTGCGTGCGTGCGTGCGTGCGTGCGTGCGTGCGTGCGTGCGTGCGTGCGTGCGTGCGTGCGTGCGTGCGTGCTGCGTGCGTGCGTGCGTGCGTGCGTGCGTGCGTGCGTGCGTGCGTGCGTGCGTGCGTGCGTGCGTGCGTGCGTGCGTGCGTGCGTGCGTGCGTGCGTGCGTGCGTGCGTGCGTGCGTGCGTGCGTGCGTGCGTGCGTGCGTGCGTGCGTGCTTGCGTGCGTGCGAGCGTGCGT